CGAGAGATGAGCAAGACCAGAGAGCCAGGGAGGGAGACGTGCAGGGTCCAAACCTCTGCCCTGCTTCCCTGCTGTTCCCCCTCCGGCCCGCCAGCTGCAGCCTGCTCTGTGCTAGACAAAACAGCGGCTGGCTCGGGTAAGCAGGGCTCCCGTCCCTGCGCCAAAGACCAGGCAGACAAAACACGGAGCAGGGGCCGGCCGGGAGAGGGGGAGGCAAGGTGGACACCACGCTGGGAGGCCAGCTGGAGGGAGAAGCTGTTTGCGTTGGCGCCCGCTGTGGGATCTGTCTGCAGGCCGCCCTGGGCCGAGCGGGAAGGGCGTCTGGCCCAGAGTCCGGGCTCTCCCCGGTGTGGTGAGCGGGGCAGTACAGAGCCGTGGTGAGGGACCGACTCTAGCGGCGTCTCCGTCCCAGCCAGCTCTGAACGGCCCTGCCAAGGAAAGGGGCAGAAGGCCAGTATGGCACCATAGCTCCTCCTAGTCCCCCTCCATAGGTGCTCTTCTTCCCCCCCTCCCACCTTCCTCGCCATAACTGCCCCCGCGTACAAGCCCCGCCCAGCCTTGCCCAGAGTGTAGTCTGTGCGCGCTGGATCCTCCTGTCTCGGCTCCTGCCCCAGGGGCTCCGCTAGAGCTTGGGTGAGATCGCCGTGATGGAGAGGGGCCGATCTCCCGGCTCGGCACCTTTCTGGGCAGGACCTGATCCATGGGGCACGGCCGATGTGCATGCACCAGGGTGGCTCCTTCCTTTCCCCAGGAGATGCTCCGGAGGGTTCATGCGGATGCAAAAGCTCCCAGCCTGAGGAGGAATTTGCCGGGGGGAAAAGTTTTCAGAAACAATAAGAGCGAGGGGCCTCGCCAACGTTATTCGGAGATGGGAAACATCCTTGCTGTTTAATCATAGAAAAATACCCTGAGCCTTCCATGGGGCGGGAGGAACTGGACGACCTCAGAGTGGGGGAGAGCTCTCCAGGGTAGCCAGGTACAATGGGGAGAGCTGGGGTCTTAGGGCATCTCGAGCACTGCCTGGCGGTGGTGAGCCAGTGGCCGTACATGGAAGGCCTGGGTTTGCCTCGGTTGAACGTGGTGGAGGTTTCGCTGTGACTCCGGGGCTGGGTGTTCCCTGTGGGAGCGGCTCCCCGGCTGAGGAAATCGCAGGGCTGTAGCCAGGCCGCTGCAGGGGGCGGAAAAGCTGGGGGAGTTGAGCGCTGCGTGGAGACTGAGCCAGTAGCGGGGCATCCCTGCCCCTGCCAGCAGGTGGCGCTGTGCCAGGGGCAGCAAGGAGCCCTCTCGGGTGGGTGAGGTTAGCCGGCTCGTGGGCTGGGCTGTTCAGCTGATGGAGCCTGAGGAAATCGCAGGGCTGTAGCCAGGCCGCTGCAGGGGGCGGAAAAGCTGGGGGAGTTGAGCGCTGCGTGGAGACTGAGCCAGTAGCGGGGCATCCCTGCCCCTGCCAGCAGGTGGCGCTGTGCCAGGGGCAGCAAGGAGCCCTCTCGGGTGGGTGAGGTTAGCCGGCTCGTGGGCTGGGCTGTTCAGCTGATGGAGCTGTGCCCGGGGGTGCTGGGTGGTTTGCATTCCCTGCCGGGCGCTACCCGCCGGTGCACCGCGCCTCTCCTTAGAGTGGGCTGCAGAGCAAAGCCGTCTCCATGGGAGAGCGCCGGGTGTGCGTCTCCTCCCAGACCATGCAGCATTAGCTTAGCACCGATGCATGGCAAAGACAGGCCATGGGCCCTGGCTCCTTCCTACCCCCGCAAGGGAAACGTCCCGGCTGGGCCTGGGGCGAGTGCAGCTGTTGGCTGAGTGGTGGGTATGGAGGTCGGGTAGGGAAGCGTGTCACTGGGGGGTGACCCCAGCCCCTCGTTCTCCCCGACCTCGCGTGGCGTACTCCAGCCCAGAGTGGGGTGGCCACCGGAGGAGCATTCGCGGGGGCTGGGCGGGAGAAGAGCAGCCCCGGATCGGGGCCCGGATGGGAACCAGACAGCGGCACCGAGAGCGGGGGAGGGGAGAGAGCCAGGGCCGACTTATCCAGTAGGCACAGTGCCTAGGGCCCACGATACTTTTAGGGGCCCCCGAAAATGTTTTAATTTCCTTTAAAATCAGAAGGAAAAAAGTGAACTTTTAGGGTCGAAGAAAATGTTTTAATTTTTTTCTTACGTCAGAAAAAAATGAAGCTTTTCGGGCCCGTGAAAATCTATTAAATTTTGCCTAAAACAGAAAAAAAAAATGTTGAAATATTTAAAGTTATATCAAAAATAATTTTTAATATTTCTTTTTATGGAGGAAGGGGCCCACGAAGGCAAAAGTGCCTAGGGCCCACGAACGTCATAATGTGGCCCTGGAAAGAGACAACCGTTTTCCTCCTGCTGGCTGAAGATCTAGTGGTGGGTTATTGACTGAGGGGTTCCCTGATCCCCCAGCCCAGCTGTCTCCCAAACTCCAGACCCGGAGAGGCTGCAGCGTTAGCAGGATCTGCCCAGAGGGGCCCACCACTAGCTCCAAGCCAAAGCCAAAACTCCCCTGGATCCGGTCCGCTCCGCTCTGGGCTGGTGGTCTGAGCACACCCTGGAAGAAACCTGCCAACAGCCTGTCCCTCTGCCCCTGTCCTGTAGGCATTTCCTGACCTCCGTGGGCAGGGCTCCGTCTGCCTTATGGGGCTGCTGGGCTAAGACCCCCACTTGGCTCCTCTGGGCTCCCCGTGATCCTCAGAGCCCCGTGGGCGAGGAGCCTGAGGCTGTGGCGCAAGAGCAGTGTCAGCGCTTTGGGCTGGGAGTCCCTACAACCAGCCCGACAGGGAAGGGTGACAGCGCGACAGATGTGCACAGGGGATGTCTCAGCGGGTTCCCTTTCCTGGCACTGGGCCTGCGGAGAGCCAGGGCCAGCGGCTGTTAGTGATGCAGGATTTGGGGCTATCTGTAGTCGCTTGGCTGGCTGCGTTTGCGTTCGGCTGTGCCCGGTGGTGTGTGTGTGCGCGTCTGCCTGTCTGCCGGCTGTCAGCCTTAGTTCTCTGCCTGTGGGTTGCCATTTATGTTGTTTTGTACGCAGACCAGCTCTGTGGCTTGGTGCGTGTCCATGTGTACTCGTGCATTGTTGTGGCTGAGCGTGTGTGCACGTGTTTCTCAGTAGGGGGCTGTGTGGCAGTAAGCGGGGCTGTGTGTGGCTGTGCAAGTGGGGCCATGTTGGCTTTGTACATTGGCGCGGGGGGGGAGGGGATGGCGTGTGTGTGTTTTTGGAGGCTTGTTCAGTTTGCTAGCCCCAACCAGGCCTCCCCTGGCTCCGATGCCCTGGAGGGAGGCACATCAGGTTCCTGCTAGGGCATCCATGTGTCCATCTGGCCCCAAAGGCAGCTGGGATCCTTCCCCCAACAGAATCAAAGGTGGTTACAGCCAGATCTCTCTAGGCCTGGCACGGGGAGAGCCAGTCAGCCCCCGGCTGCTCCGCACAATTGACACCCCTGTCAATTGGGACATGGCAGTGGGGCAGGAGGAGTGGGGTGGGGGCATGGAGGGAGGGGACGGCGGGG